TTATTAATGCAATGGTTGTTTGTACTTTGATTACTATATTGCATGTGTTGTGATACTTACATGAAGTCCTCCGCCCCCGAACGTTTCCGCCGTTCTGGTTTGGGGGTGTGACATGTATGGATTTGGTATATGGGGGACTCGACGAGTTGTTCATACAACTCGACGAGTCGGGTCGTGGTCCCTAACTTTTTTGGCTCCGAGTGAACTCGTTGAGTCTAGGAGATGACTCAGCGAGTTGGACTTGGTTTTGGACTCGAAGATCATAGAACTCGGCGAGTGAAGCGCAAATGTCCCAACTGAGATGAAGATGGACTTGACGAGTTCAAGGGTGAACTCAGCGAGTTATGAGCAGAATGCCTCGACTTGCATAAAAGGGAACTCGACGAGTTGATGGACCAACTCGGCGAGTTGAGTCGACCAGGATGTTGACTTTGACCGGGGTGTTGACCTTGACTTTGACTTTGACCTGAGTTGACCCTTGAAAGGGTTAAGAGTATGAAATGGTAATTAAGGAAGGTTGTTATGTGTAGGAGTTTGAGAGGTATTGATCCCAACATCAAGGACAGTTCAGACACTTCACAACATTGAGGTGAGTTATCTTCCAGTAGAAGTGGGTCTAAGGCCACAATGTCGGCCCACTAGCAGGAGTTGTTGGTTAGATGAATGTCTTTGTGATAATTATCTGGTATGTTGCTATATGTGTGCTAGGATGCTTTGTTGTATATGTTGGTAGAAGTAGGGGAAAACATCCCCAGGATAGCGGTTGAAAGATATCGAAGGGGTCGTCAGAATCCATGCATGCCTAGCAGTATGATTATGATTACATGATGATATTATGTGATAGTGGTAGGGGGTGTAATAGTCCCCACTCACCGGTTGAAAGATAGCGAAGGCAGATACCGGTTGAAAGATACTGATGGCAGTTACCGGTTGAAAGATAACGAAGGCAGCTACCGGTTGAAAGATTCCAAAGGCAGATACCGGTTGAAAGATACCGATGGCAGTTACCGGTTGAAAGATACCGAGGGTACTATGTTGTATGCGGTATGATGAGGGAACTCACTAAGCTTCGTGCTTACGGTTTTCAGTTTTGGTTTCAGGTACATCTTCCTCACGGGGAAAGGAGCCGGCTTGACTGCAGCGCATTACACACACTTTCCGCACTAGTGATCCATGGGATTTTATACTCTGATATGATTTTGTATGGCATGTTGATTATGGATACAATTGTTCATCTTTTTATGATATTACTATGTGGTTTTCAGACAATTGGTTTTATACTTGCATAATTAAAAATAAAATTTTTGGCCTTGAATTTTGGGATGTTACATTAAGGTTTCTCATGCCTGCCTATAAATAGGCTCATATCCCTGTTCATTATTCCTTGCGTGTTTTATGCTAGTTTTCAGCGAGAGCAATCATTGTGAGGTTGAGAACAAATTCTTTGGAGTAGTTAATAAGCAAAATGGATTTTTTTTTTGTTTTGAGAGCTCAAGTGAGGTGTAATCTCTATGTGTGATTGCAATTGTTCTTGAAAGTTAATAAAATAACATCTCTCTCTCTCTCTCTCTCTCTCTCTCTCTCTCTCTCTCTCTCCTTCGCACGTGGGCATTGTCCACTTTAACCGAACCACATTAAATATTGTGTTTAGTTTTTTATTTAAGCTTTTCAGAATTTTATTTCCGTAAGTTACACCAAACTTTGTTTGACATTTGTTTGAAGTACTTAACTTGTATTGTTATCCCAACACAAATATCTTCCTAGGTTTCGAATGAAAATATTATAATGAGCTAATGGTCATTGATCAAATGGAATTGCACATAAGGTTTGACCGTATGTACAAAATATGGCTCGGGAAGGGATGAAAAATGTTAAGGTATTGCAAAACCCGTTCCAAAAAAAGGTATTACAAATAAACACAATTCCATCCATTTAAGAACCACAAACTTCTCACCATGCAAATGAACACCATCCTGTTTCATTATTCATCTTGTCTTATTACACTTAATCATGTATCATACACACTTGCTTTAGTACTTGTACATCTTCCATTGGTTAACATGTGACAAAAAATGTTTGATCACATGATAAAATTGTTTAACTAGTGACTCACTACGGATGAGAGATATGAGAATCACCCGGGCCCTCCATAATTCAAACATATTATGTGAATGTTTTGGCTTTTGAGGTTTGGATTTTGAGGCCGGTAGAATGTTGTTTAGTGTGTGTTTAACAAATAACAACATCCAAAATTAAAATAATAAGTATTCAAGAATGATTTGATTGAAACTAAAAATTAAGGATGATTTTTTAAAAAATTGGATACAACTATAAGGGTTTTCATGCTATTTTCCTAATGAGATTCTTTTATTTATTTATTTATTATTATTATTATTATTATTTTAAATCACACTCAAACAACGATTATTGATTTTTCGGTTTTAATCATTAAAAAATACTCGTAAAAAATAAAACTAAAAAGTAGAGAACAACGAGAGCCATCGCCATTCTGATCAAAAGGCGAAACAGCATCTCTCCCCCATTTCGTCAACAAGCGTGAGAGAAGGAGAACGCCATCGCCATGAATTCGGCAGCTCGCAGAAGCGGAGGTCTCTTCGAAGGGCTATACAAAGTCCTTATGCGCCGTAACTCCGTCTATGTCACGTTCGTCATCGCCGGCGCTTTCATCGGTGAACGGGTTAGGGTTCCGATCTCTCCTTATGTTTTTGTTTTTTTTACATATCTTAATTTCATTTCCTGCTACTAGCTTTGATTCTTCATATATCCATACGGCTGATTGTGTCTAATAATCGAATGCTGGATCTGATTTGCCATCGTTCTTTTGGAGATGTACAGAATCGTACTCAATATCAAATTAATGAATTTTTTTCTTAAGAATTCTACGATTGAGGGAATAGTGTATGATTACGATTTTGATTTTTGAAAAATGTTAATACAGAGTGTAAAATTATATTTTGTACACCAGACATTGGAAAAACTACTAACCACATCAATACGATCTTTATATTCTGCAAGAAAAACTTGGTTGAATCCATTGGTGTAATTACATGTTCAAGTTCTTTTTACTGAGTTTTAATGCAGGTTGTTTGTATAATTGTATCTGGTCATTCCTTCTTTGATATAGTTGACTGATTTAGTTTTGTGGATTTACATGTTTCAGGCAGTGGATTATGGAGTTCATAAACTCTGGGAGAATAACAATATTGGGGTAATGCTCTGTTCCTTCTTGGTTGACTTTCTGTAGTTTCTTTTGTTTTCCACACATAGATATGTATACACACATATGGTGCATATATACATGTGTGTATGTATGTGTATGTATATCTAATACATTGTTATCATTATGCAGAAGCGATATGAGGACATTCCTGTTTTGGGACAAAGACCAACTGAATGAAACTGGCATATGACTTAATCACTTTCTGTGATTGTTTCATCACCTTTTTGGGATCTTAAAAGGGTCAAACCATTTGAATCTTTTTTTAAATAAGTATTATTTAGGTTCATCAACTTTGCTTAAAAACTTATTTTGGTTGATGTTGTGAGAGAGATTGTTCTATCAAATTCATCAAGTGTTGCATTTGAATATTTTTGTGTTTGCTTGTTTAAGTTTTAACCAAACAATTAAATGAACACAATCACATAAAAGAATAGTTATTGTCATTAGTATTACACGGCATTAAGGTCCATCTAAAACAAGAAAATCACGATCCATGCTTTTGATGTTTCTTCCTTTGAAACCATACCAAGTTATATATAATCTTTTTATCAATTTGTTTAGAATTTGTTGTTAGGAATAAAGACTTCAATAATACGCAAACACGATCTCATGACTATTAAAGATGTGAAAAAAATACAAAGATTTATGGTGATTCACTTGAGATAAAAAGAGCTACATACACATACGAACTATTTATTTATAGCCTTCAAAACACACGATTTTATGCTTAGGGTTATATTTGTACCAAGGAGATCTATTTATATAGACGAGTTGACCTAAAATTTGTTGTGGGTTGGGGCTACGAAACGTCACCGACTCATCTTGCTCATTGCTTGAATACTACAGTTGCGACATGTAGGGCAATGCATCCTTTCTCATCGAGCACAACAATTATGATATGTTGGATAACTCAACCTATTTTGAAATTCCCTGCAACTGCCCCTCAGCCTACCCCGCATGCTTACTCTATAGTCACTCCACATCTGCCCCGTAGTCTTGATCCTACTCCACAACTTCATGATCTCCCGCTTTGAGGTTGATAAACCAGTCCACTGACATCCAAACTCGAACTATGTAACACCCATCTCTTTGGCCCGTGTATTGTCTTATTGTATCTGGAAGGCTAGTTGAAGCCATTCATAACTTCAACTTCTCTGTCATCGCTATCACTACATTGGCAAACATGTCTTCTGGATTCTTAGTATCAAAGATCTTCAAGCTCAAAGTACCATCATTTATCAATGCTATGATAAAGCAACACCTCCTATGCATGTGTTTCATTTTATTGTGAAATCCTGGATTCTTCACGAGGTGAACAACACTGTGGTTATCACAATGCATGACACAGTCTTTTTGTTTCTGATAGGATGTTCTACAATCAAATAAGCTCCTTGATAGCTTCTACTAGAGCCATGAACTCATTTTTTGTGGTTGAAAGAGCAACACTCTTCTTCAATGCTTAGTCTTTGTAGCGACAATGAGGTCAAACGGAAGATCATACTCCACGACACAACATTTGTCACCCCATTCTAATAACAAATTCGTTGGCCAAGATGAACCCCATCCATGCTCATTTTATGAGTTATGACCCATTCTTCTACTCAATTCTGGTGGAGCAGGGCATCAAGTTCTACAATTTCTATGTTATTAGACTTAGATGGCTAAAGTCGAAGTCCTTTCTAGGTTTTAAAAACTAAAGTTACATTGGCACAATACTATCATAACATAACTTTGACATTATGATTTTCATTTCATTAACTCAAAACTTAGATACGTCAACCACATCCATGAAGTTAAATATGCTCAATTTATCACTTCTTTTAGGAGGTTCAGCAAAGCATCCACGAAGATGCATCTTGAAATATGCATGAACCATAAGAAAAACTCGACTAAAGGAACATTCCTCAAGAGAAATTCGGTTTGGTAAGTGAAGTAATGTTCCTTTATCTTTGTACCTCAAATAGATATAGAGACAATGTGTACACACAATACACAATCTCATGGCCTACGTTTACAAAATTCAATGGAAGATCAGAAAAAAAATAAGGGTTCATATTGTAAATATAGAGACAATGAAAGTTTATTCACTTTTAATAGCATTGTAAATATGCTGCACGAAGATCCACGATGACTGAAAACTGATTGTAGCAAGCATCAGGAAGAATGCATAGCAAAATAGAAAGTTGTAGCAGAAAAAAAACGTTGACTGCATGAACCCATTCATGTTTGACTTTGAATAGTAGTAGACACAATATCCAAACATAAAGATAGCAACCGATCCCCCACGAAAAATAGATCTGTTTCACAAACCCAAATTTTGAATTTAGTTAATTCAAGATCAAGATTTAACAACCATTATTGAAAAAAAGCAAACTAACTTCTAAATTCATGTGAATTCTAAACATACCTCCACCACCATTGATGATCTTCTACAGTTAATTGAATGTAGGTCATTCCAACACTCAAAAGTGATACAAGAACAAGAAGAAGAAGAAAAGTTATAAACAAAATGATAGGAAGAGTCAAGATTTTATAGCTCCAAATAGTTGCATACAAGTTATGCAACTCAAGAACAATTGCACTAAATGGTAAAAGACCCGAAATCAACATTTGACCATGAGTCTTTCTATACCAAGTCAACAAAGGAATCTCCCTTGGTGATATCTTTGTAGCTGAAGGTGCTTGAAACTTTGACCTAAATCGGTATCCCATTATTCCACCAAATGCAAGAAGTGGAATTGAAATTAAAGTGTATGAAAGTATGATCATGATTATTGTGCTAATTGGAAGTGATGAAGTAGCTCCAATTGACATGGAAATTGTATTGAGAAGAAACATAGTGATAGAAAGTGGCCCAATGTAGAGAATCCCAGATAAAAGAACACATCTTTCCTGAAAAAGTCAACTATTAGTCAAAATTGACCTTAAAAGTCAACATAAAATATGGTAACTTATTACTTACCCATCCAGTCTCTGAGAATTGACTAAAAAATGAAGCGGAAGTGTATCCAGCTATTGGGGATGTAAGTATAAAAAACACCACAAGAGAAGTTGAAATGCTCCCTCTGCTATACGGATATATGACTCCAAAAAATACCAAAAGGAATAAGAAGCAAACACTGTTTACAAAAAAACGTAAACATTATTGGCTTAATTAAAGTCAAAAAATGAAGTAATCTTGAGTTAACAACTTAATATGTTCATACATGGTGAATAATTGTGTCCCAGTTCCCAAAACAGCACAAAACAACGCCATTCGTTGAGGACATCTGAACACGTCACTATGAACATACTTCCACCCCACTTCTTTATCTTGTTCTTCATCTCCATTAGAATATCTGCAATTAAAGAAAGAAAATGAAGAAGAAAGACTCGAAAGTGGTTTAATTTGAATGAAGAGTGAAGACTGGAGAGATGAAGTTATCATTACTTCTTTAAATCGTTCTTCAGATGACGCATGAAGAGTGTTATAAGGAGCCCCATAAGAAGCACAATGATCACTACAGAATTAATGAAAGAAAACCAATGAATTTGTCGTTGTGTGGGCAACAATGAAACTCTTGAATACTTGTTCATCCTGTTCTTGTAATCAATTGAAGTCGAATTCCATGATATTGAGTAAGTAAATGTAATGTCGACTTCGGTTTTGTCAGTGATATCTACAGCATGATTTGGATCACTAAACGCACGTATTTCTATGACTTGATCATCATTGTAAAGAGCGTCAAATTGTAGGTGTTTGAACACGTAATATGTGGGCCCGTTTTTGTTACTGCCACCTGTCCAGCTATCAGCTTCTGTTTTTCCAGTGAATCCCCATAGTGGAAGATTGTCATAGTACATCTGGAAGTAAAATTCGTTGCTGATAGCGTTTATGAATCTTGTTATATCGTCTTTTTTAAGCTTCTTTTCACATAGGATTTTGTCAGATTTATCTTCACGGAAGTTTAAGGTGTATAAGGTGTTGCTCAATCTATCTCCATTTAAAACTTCCCCTAAAGTTTCCTTCTTTGGGATCACTTCATCTGCGAGATTATTAAAGAAATTATGGATTGAAGTTTGAAGAAGTAAAAAGATTGAAAAGATTCAATCTTTAATCAAAGATAATGGTACCTGGAGAGCAGAATGGCAAATCATAATATTGGTATGTTTCACTGCAAGAAATATCAAGGAAACAATCTTGAAAAGAACTTTAATTAAAAAAATAATCTAAATTGGATATACTGGGAATATCAAATTAACCTTTTCTAGGGTTTATACTGGGAATGTCATTTTAAGCACGAAAGTACACTAACATTGATTCTACAGATAGCATTTCTCAATCGGAATAAAGAGAAAAGTCAAATACACCAATTACTAACCTGGGATTGTTCAAGGGGCCAACTATGTTGACAAATATGGGTACAGTATCTCCTACATTGTACCGATGATCAAACGATGAAGCTGTAATTGGGGAAACGAAGAGGTCTAGGGTTGTCAATAGCAGCAAGAAAAAACGGATTAGGGTGGATGTGTGACACTGAGTCATAATAGATGATGGGGAACAAGATTTTCGAGGGAAATCGATAAAACTGGAAAGGATTTCAAGAAAAATTGTTGGGTTGATCATGAAATTCGAGTAAAGTATCACTGATCTACATGCTTCGAAGTGGTCAACCAGCTTCAAATATGTTGATCATTGACAATTTGAGAAAACAAGTTTACAGTTTCGGATAATTTAACTTTAAGCCCCCTATAGTTTGGTTATAGATACAACGGTCCCTAAACATTTTTGTCATGAGTTTTTAGTGTAAAAGGTGTTTTGACGACCTCTAAAACTACTCCTATCTAGAGCTGTAAACGAACCAAATTTTTCAACGAACTGTTCGGCGAAAAATTCGTTTATGTTCGTTTATTTAATAAATGAACGAACATGAGCACAATTCTTGTTCGTTTAGTTAAACTAACGAACATAAACAATGGTCTCGTTCGTCTAATTATGTTCGTGAACATTCGTTTATGTTCGTTCATTTAATTCATTTTATGTTCAATTGTGTTTGATTACATTATTATATTATATGTTCGATTATGTTTATTTATGTTTGTTTATGTTTGTTTAGCATGTTCACGAACATAAACGAAAAAACATGAACAATGTAATTTGTTAAATGAACGAACATGAATAAAAAAACTCGTTCATTTATTTGTATGTGTTTGCTTATTTGTTCGGCTAATTTAAACGGACGAACATAAACAAGGCATCGTTCGTGTTCGTTCGGTTCGTTTACAATCCTACTAATATCTATCAACAAGTCAATGTAATCAAATTATTTATTAAAAATTATTTTCTTGATTTTTTATATTTGAGAAATGATGTTCGACAACATAAACATTTTTGTCAAAATAACAAGACTTTTTCTGAAAATTTTCCTTGAATGAATATAGAGAAATCTTCAAGTTTGATTTCACCAAAATAATGAGAGGAAAAACCACAACCAAAAATAATGATTTCAACAAAATAATGCAGATAAATCATCAAAGTTGAACATAACTTTCTCCGATTCTCCAAATTAATAAATCCAAAGTCTAATTATTAGAAAACATTCAATTTCATAATGTGTCATAAACCAATCGTTGCGGAAAGAATCACCAATTTGTTTTAAAATTTTCATTTTAAAACAATCAAATTCATAAAACATTTGTTGCAAAACCAATCATAGTAAAATATATCGCTCAAATATCAAAGTAAAACAATAATAGTCAGTGCAGAAAAAGTCATCAGGGGATGCTGTGCAATCAAGTCGGGCCCTTCCCTTTGGAACTGGAAATACCTGAAAATATTTAAACCACAAAACCGTAAACACAAAGCTTAGTAAGTTTTCCAAAATACCACATATCATACATAACCTTAGGCACCGCCCAACACAAAAACGGGCTTATCCCAACATACAAAAAAATCAACAATATTCACTATTAAATACAACGTGATTCATCAAGGAATAAAATCGTATTTTTGTATTTGTATATCATACAGATCTCTATAAATAAATCATAAAAATTTATAAATTTTGGTATATATATATATATATATATATATATATATATATATATATATATATATATATTATATATATATATATTCTTTTTTTTAAAATAACCAAAGTCCAAAAAATTATAAATACTATTCATGATGGATACATCACCATTCATCTGCGGATACTAAAAAACTCATTTTTTGTATATCGTTTGGATTACATGACATTCTTGACCCTAATTTAGTTATAACATCTTTGTACAGTCACTTTATTTATCGAAAATATTGTTTTGGTTTGATTGACCTAAAAACTCACTAAGAACTTAAAAACTTAAAAGCACGTCCCCTCAAGGTATCATATTGTATTCAATAGGATTGATTATAGTTCATGGATTAGAAGTTGGTCATAAAATTATTGAAGTGTTATATATATATATATATATATATATATATATATATATATATATATATATACTAGGTTATAACCCGTGTACTACACGGGACACCGTAAAATAATTTTAAAATTAATAAACCTTAAAATAATATTACATTTGCAAAGATTTATTTTTTTAGAAACTTCTGCCCGTAGTTTTATAGTTGTTAATTTAAATTAATTTTGCAATGTGTTTTGAGGATACCAATCATTCATTATGTCTAAATTAATGATAAATGGTTAATTGGTTATATTGTACAGTGATATATTTAATTATAAGAATTGAAAAAAAAATTGTTTGAAGTATGAATAAATGCAAGAAATATCAAAGTTCTGATATAGAATTTAAAACATACAACAGAATTGTTCTAGATTGTAAAAAAAAGCGAGTAATAAAAATAAAAAAATTTACCTGCAAAATACACTGAAAATATTGTAAGTGTTCCGTATTGACCTCCTACATAGGTTTTGGGACCGTTTACCATTTTTTTTAAACTCACCTCTTTTATACTATTAACTAAATTTAGCCTATCATCTTTATTAATTTAAAGTTACCTAACCTAATAAATTAATTTTCAAAGTTTTCAAATTTTATAGGATCCAACTTTCAGCTTCAGATTACGATATCTAAGTACTTTTATTTTTGATTTTCCCATTTTAAAGTATCCAACTCTCATTTCAAATATATCTATCCCGTGAACTTTGAAAATACGAAAACCCAATCAAAGATCTTATTTACACCAAAATAACAAACAACGTGATTAAATTTATTGATAATCTAAACTAACAACACACATCACCATTAAATTGATTTAAGTTTGATGAGAAATTAAACTAACCAAACACATATCACTTTATTGATAATCTAAACTAACAACACACATCACCATTAAATTGATTTAAGTTTGATGAGAAATTAAACTAACCAAACACATATCACTATTAAATGATTGGTTAGGGTGAGGGTATATAAGTAAAAAATCTTACTTTTGAAGAAAAAAAATTAGCATAGGAGAATATTATATTAAAGAAAGAAAATATACAGAAGAGAATTAGGAAAGGGTACAAAGATTACATCTCACTAATTAGCTGAGCACCAACAAATAATACACCTTAACAAAGAGTACAAAGAAATCGGCAAGCCAAAATGTATTGAGCCTTGCACCTAATCAGCATAAATAATCAATTGAAACACCAAGTAAACAAATTATATATTGCAAACAAACTCCGTGACTCATGAAGGTTGAGTAGGACCACAAAGCAGCATCGTTAGTAACTTGTAGAAGCACCATATTTCATCTTCAATGTAATTACTCCTAAAAAGATTGGAATTGCATAGCAAACATTTTGTGAGATTGACATGTAACTGTCCACATAACATCTCAGTAGTAAAAGTGTATATCCACAAAACAAAACTTTAATCCAGAAGTTAATTTGTCTATTGTTAAATATAGTTAAGTAATTTCAAAAAACAAATAGACAAGAACAAAGCTGCAAGAACACCTCAAGACAAATGATATTTTAACTCATTATCATCTATATTGGTTTTATAATGTGATTAACCAAATTTAAATGTTCTACATGTGCATTTTTAAAGCAAACCTAACCTCAAATTTTATATGTCCTTGTCGAGACTTAATGTAACACTCATACTTTTTATAACATAAAAATATTATGATTGTGCCTTCATCATGACAAGAAGTCATGATCAAAATATAGTTTTTACAATAAAACTTTCAAGAGTATATCAAAGTTTATAAACTACAGTGTTACAAAAGAAAATAACAATCATAGCGTAAGAGAAAGGAATGTACATAACTAATACTATTCTAAGCCTACAAAAGATCTTTACTACAAATGAGCCCCTATTACATAGATCCCGATCCTAAGTAGATAACAATTCAACAACATAAAAAATGTAAATCAAAATACTCATGAGATAAATGGGTTTAGACTCAACAAGATAAATTTGAAACATACTTTCAAAACATTTCATAACATCACCAACATTTCATGAAAAACATTCCATATCGTGACTTACAGATTTCCCATGCATATGAGGAGTTCATATCTTTGTCGGTTCACAACTGGCTCCTTACTAGCCATGAGAGAGCTACTCTCATTGGTCCATTGGGGAGTCTATACCCCTCGACAACTACTTTGCGATGGAAGGTACCCTCTTAGTAGTGTATCATTTTTCCTGTTACGAGGACATGTTCGGACATCTCTTAATCATGCATGCATTTATAAAACATAGAATTCACAAACATTTAATAAAACGTATGGCATACTAGAACTTTCATAACAAAATACTAGTAACGTCCTTAAATCATATCATGTAAGAACATAAAACTTCAAGTACCAAATACTTGTCATTAACACATTCACATAAAAAAAAGTCTTGTTTTGCTATGTACTACTTGAATTCCACATGTATTCACCTTAGGTAGTTAGTGATGACCAAATAATATTCTTGTCCTTCACTTGTATTTTTGGCTAGAATGCCTTCAATCCTTATTAATCAACATATTAAGTTATTATTAACATAACTTATTCCATTAAGAACTTAATCTTAATCTTTTCTCCAAAATCACTCATTTGATCATATATAATTATCATATTAACTTTTGTGACAAAACTAATTATGCTTCGTGAATAACTCATCTAATGGTCTTAAATCATCAAGATTCAAGTTTGATTTCCAAAAATTCTAAAATCACCCTGTTAAAACACACAAGACAAATTTTCCCAACATCACCATTTCTCATATCATTTGAGGATCAAGAAACAGGTGGTTTTTCAAGTTACTTACAACTGAAAAATCACTACAATCACCTATTCTACTCTCTATTTTATTCACTCATCCTAAACTATTTCACATCAGAATATATTGACTAAGAGTTAATTACAGAACCCTAATCTAAACAGATGAACACGATGAACGATAAAGTGAAAACGAAGAAGACTTGAGAGAAAACCCTAAATCTGATCTGAACACTCACACACGAATGACCACGAACCTTCTCTCTCTTTCTTTATACTTCGGATACCAAATACGGATACAACCCGAACTTGACTCGACCCAAAATATGACTCGCGTGTTCCTTCAACCTGTCCTTCAACCTGCATAAACACTCTAACACCTTGCTGTATATACTCTTTACACAATACACCCTTCAACTATAAATTATATTTCATAATAAATATGAGATTGAAAATAT